ATATTAGCATTAAGTTGAGATGAGGATAGGAAATTATAATCTCACCATGTGTAATGGTGATGAAAATTTGCTAGCTCTGAACGGAGATTATTTTTTACCGTCTGTCTTGTTTTTTTCTTTTAATTTGAAGATTCTTGCTACATAATCGGGAAAAATATGGATTTGATTGATCACCAAAATGATCAGTTAAAGGTCAGAAAAAATTTAGTGATGCCACTGCCAATCCCAGCCTGCCTAGAGAGGGCATACGCTACTTATTTCCAAGCGTCTTAGCGTGGAATCGTGGAAGAGGGTTTTGCATTGTGAACGGGGGGCAAAATGGCACTCGGAGGTACGGACACGATTGGGTTTCTTGTTGTGAATTAAATATTCATACACACCGTCAGACGGGGATTTTAAGTCTGCGCCCGCCAGCGTCTTTTCCAATTAGCCCCGCCATATTTGGTCATGCGCTGCCGAAATTGACAGACTTGGAAACTTGCAAAGGTTGCAGATTTTTAAAGTGCCAAAGTAGGACCATTCTGATGAAAAGCAGCGCTGAAAAATGTTTTGTTGGATAAAGAAGATTTAAGACACAATTGTTTTTCTGGTATTCTTTAAAATAAATCCTAAATGTGCGCACGTCAATTCAGAAAAAGATTAATAATCTTTTGGAATTGTGACCCTATTTTATTAAATTTCTATAAAACATATAATGTACACCACCAAGAATGATTCATTGCATTTTTACATAAAGTGTTTCAAAAGTCTTTCAAACCTTTCCACAAGATATCCCACACAAATTTCATAAAAAAATTTCCAAAATAAATTTCAAACCACATGAAAAAAGTCTGATAATCCTGAACAGGAAAAAATGTTACCAAGTTCAAAATGGTTCTGTTTTAAGTACTGGAGAGCAATTTCCTTTTTCAGAAGCCGCACAGCTTGTAACAACAGTGTGTGCACTGCCTGTAAATTGTACTACATGCACACGTAGACCTATAGCCCGGCAACGAAGACATCACAACTATGGAACCTTATCTATTCGGAATGTTCCTTGTTTATTTCTGGATTTGGGTTTATCATGATGGTTTGCCATCAACACTGAAGGTGTAGAAAGTAAAGGATGCGTATGGGATTTCTGCCAAAGATTAATCCGATAAAAAAAAAAGAGCTGAAACGAATTCTTGCCACTTTTTCTAGCAAAGAATGAGTTTAGATTTTTCTGCAAAAAATGTGTTTCTTCTTATTTAAACCAAACAATAGTCTTTTGGGAGGATAAAGTAAAAACGATTAAGAAAACCATCTGTTTTGCTTGGTTATAACTGAAATATTATGCCAACAAGTTGTCAATGGATGAAAATCTAAATTGGGCTTTTTCCAAAAGTTTGTTTCAGATGCTTTCTAAGACTCAAGAGGAGAACTAAGATTAATAAATTAAAGTTTTAAATATCTTTGCCATAAATTTGAGGTAACATTTCCTCATTCTAATGTCAAACCAAGTAAAAGCTGAAACTATCAATAATATTTTTTTTTTTTTTCCCCTGAGAAATTTGGACTCAAATTCTTTTAAATCTAACAACTTTTTATGCTGATTTAGTCCTTAAATTATGGAATTTCTTTCCATAAGACATGAAGTATTTCACACTTTTTACCACAAGATGATATCAATAATAGATTCATGGAATGCAGACTCACCCCAACGAATAAAAGACCCATCAAGTTAAGATGGACACTCGGTCTTTCAGACGGTTATGACACGGCCGAGAAAAATCGAAAAAGCTTAGGCAAAGATCTTTTGTTGGTCAGGCACAACAAGTGTACAATGCACCTGCTACGAGAATTGAATTTGGTGGGCAAATGGACCCGGTTTAGTGGCGGCTTAACGTGAATAAGATTAACGCATTAGAGGTCACGATAACGCCTTGTTTAGGGACCGCTAAGGAAGTGGTGGATAATCTTGTTCCCATCTGGAAAGAGTTGGTATAACTTCCAAAGTCTGGAGACTGGAATTAAGGAGTGAAGTACGGGAGCTTAGTCGCAGCGGAATTTGCGGTCCGTGCTGCCGTGTTTTGAATAAATACTGCGGGCGGCCGGATGACAACACACGGTGCGCTCAAACAAATTTCTCGGTCGTCCAGATACGTTTTGCACGTTCCATTAACAGCCAAAATATGTCGTTACAATACAAAACTACGTATGAAACAAAGATGACCGTTGTTTACAACATGTACAATGAAAAACAAAGTAAGAATACCTAATATTTATAATTAATAGACGGCAAAATTATCTAAATATCGACCGGACAAAACTGTCTTGAAGAATTTCAAGAAATGAACAGACATGACACTGACAGAAACTGTATTAAATATCTGGCGCTCCATTTCCAAACTTAACCAATTTCCTAACATACTTGGTGACTACATTGTGATTAGCATAAATGAATTGAAAATTTAGAAGTAAGTTAGTTTTGAGAAGAGAAAAACGGAGGTAAAGAGCAAAATCTTACTTGGCATTCTTGTTCCAGTGAATGGTGGCCAACGTCTTCGCCAGTGAAACACGCAGCAAGAACAGCAGTATATTAAATACAAAAATCCACTTGGGGCTCGGCAAAGTCCACTCCATGTCTTTGAGTCGCCGTTCGAACATCTCAGGACGAGGAAAGAAAGTGGCAAATATGGACAAAAAAATGTCCGGAGTTTGTCTTCTAAGGGGCGGTCTCTCGATACAAGGAGACCGCAGCCACCACACGTGTGCGACTTGGCTGAGCACTCTCTCGGTGACTCGCTTCACCAGACACGGAACATCAGTGACCGCCTCCTTTTGCCCGGAATTTCACCTTTTGGACGACAACAGCCGCCCAAGAAACCACATGTGACTGACAATCAATGTATCCACAACTCGTATTAAGAGTTTTATCTTTATTCCTTCTCCACAAATCGTAGAAAAATAACAATAGACAATCGCATTCTCTCAGGTTAGGTGACACTTTTCTGGCTCGGTGTATGCACACGCACCGCAACGCATAACAAACTAACTGTACACAAAAAGTGCCATACCAAAAAGACACACACTGACTGGATAGACTGACTGCGCATTGTAATATGCTGAGTGCGTGTCATTGGACGGTTTATGAATAATGAATCGCGTAGGTGACTTTTTCTCATAAATATTCATTAACCACTCAACTCGCTTAAAAGTAACTTCTCTGATGGATTACGCATGGCTCGTTTTAGTCACAAAAAACCTCTTCAAGTTACTCTTACCGCGATATTATTATTCAACTTAATCCAGAAAAGGTGGAAATACAGGGCCGAGTTTTCGAGAGCTTAAAAGTAGCGGTGGCGCCGGTTATGTTGATATTTCTTGCAGGTATACTCGAAACATTCGGAGAAGGTTTTACGGAAATTGCAGGCCGATAGCCGGAAAAGGACAGAGCGTATAATCACAAGTGTTGAGTATGCACGCCATACATCAAGGCAAAAGTACTTAGGTAGACTTATAATTCGTATATTAATAAATACATTTAAGAACAGTTTGTCTCTTCTATAAGAATAACTCTAAGATTTCCGAGGAAAAAACTTTAAATCGGCAAAAATATAAGCGCTTAGGCCTATGCATTACCATCTGAAACAACGTCCTTAACGTAATTTTGATTGGTTTGCCGATCATAAACCACAGGATAGACACCTTTAACTTTTCTTTTTCTAAGTTTGCTTTTTCCAAAAAAAGAGCACAAGTTGACCAAAATGAGAGATATTTAAATCCTCCGCATTAACACCTGTCTCGCATGTCGGAGTCGGACTACATGGGCCGCCTCTTTGTCGCCCTTTGCCTCACAATCATTAATCATTTTGCGTCCTGTCCCTACATTTTTCTCCAAGTTAAGACAAAACCTGCATGACGGATGAAAACATACAGCTACGATGACAATAAAGTGTCATGTGAAAATCACTCCTCATCTTTCGTTGCATTTTAATTACGGGGGAAAAGACATGAGACTTTTCACGGCGCCCAGAACAGAAACTGAGGAGACATTCCTTTGACAACAGTCACCACATGTTCAGTTTTTACAATCGTGAAGATGAAATTCCCCCAATCAAATTTATGAAGAACACACTTATAGATACATATTCATTTGTTTCTAGTTATTTGCAACTTGCGTATTTATAATGAATTTCCATCCAAAATGGATCGGTGTTTATCTTAACTCAAAATTAGGAATTATTGCAACTTTTCTTTTGATTGATCGGACAATCAAAGTAAGCCTATGCATGCTGTGGATTATACGATACAGATTTTCATTTTTTTTAAGTTTAAAATATTTATGGAAGGGTATTTGTTGAAGAGCAGGACCACAGCAAAATGGTGGTTAAAAAAAATAAAGTTACTTTAAATTCCGGTCGTATGTAAACATCAACCTTTAATGTAATTTTAGGAACATACAGTCAACACTGTCACGACGGTTTACAAATTATGCGTATTCCGGCAAAGTTTCCCACACCCAGGATGCGGGAGTGAGCAACCCCCTCAATTAAATCAGTTTCACCGGCCAGCTCTGAAATACTTGAGGGTGTGTCGAGGCGTTTGTTGGCAGCGGATCAGATCAGCAGCTCAACATGTTTCCTTGGACTTTGGTTTCGCGGGGGTAGCAAAATGGGAACAACTCCAATACTGTTCTTTTTCTTTCCTTATCATATTAACAGGATCCTGACCAAACTTTGGGCCACGGGTGGCTGCAATACCGCCCTCTTGTGTTGGTCATAAACACCGGAATAATGCATCTTTGAAACTTGTCCGAAACAGTGTCAAAATTCGCAATTCTTTTAAACAGTCCGCACGCGGAAACCCTAAATTAGTCTTTGCGTAAACAATTATTTTTTTTAATCTTCAATTGTTTATTTTTATGTATCGATGACAAACATCAAAACTCGACCCTCCCAACACACCCCCACACAACAGAATGGAAAGTAATCATGTCTCTCTATAATGAGACCAACATCAATGACAAAGCTCAAATCTTAAAGTAGCACTATTTTCATTTATTAAATTTATGCAAAATCGGAGTTATTATATTTTGTTCATGGGTAGATCAGCAAGTAACAGTTGAAATTTGGATAAATAGTTGAAAAAATCGGCAAAAATATGAAAATTGTTGCCGACAGGTGAAATTATTTGATCCAAAATTCCCTCGTGCAAAGATAGGACAGTTGCGATCAAATTCATTACAAAAAAAATTTATACAATCTATAGTATAATTGCATATCTGATCTCTGTATTTCAATTTAAATATTCGGTCATCTTTTTTTTTCTCCAGATTTCACCCAATTTTATTCCTTCTTAAAATAACTGCCGCCTCTGCTCAATTTATTAATAAATTTAATTGTACAATCAAGCTATTATTTCGTACACCAATAAACTTAAGTTATAATCTGACTAAATCCAGGCATGCAACTGGGAAATCACAAAAAAAGAGGAAATTCAAATTTTTCCCAGACTTTGTACAGTGTTTTTCTATTTTCAATGGCACACATTGGAAGTGAAAAAAAGAGGAAATCAGCTGATCCGAGGAAAAGTTACATGCCTGTAAATCATTAAAAAAAAAAAAAAAAAAAAATTCCTCCTCCCAAAATATTAGTCTTGGATAAGCATAGCATAAGCATGCTGTAAGAAAGTACACTTTAATATATTTCTAAATTGTGTTATGAAATTGGGAAGTTTACAAAATTAAATTATAACTTTGAGGTCCATATACACGCAGCACAGCATCTACGGAACTACAAAATTTACTTCCAAGTGAAGGGGTTTTCGATGCAATTTTCTATCTCGCCTCAAACAATGTTTAATATCTATATAATATCTTACCTAAAATTCTCCTTTCGTTTTCCATAATTTGGTTATAAAAAAAAAACAGTATAAATGAAATGTGATGCAACTTCATAAATAAACTAAGGTTATGCAAAGAGAAAATGCCCTGTTCTCCCTACGTTAAAAAAAGCAGAAATGTGTGTATTTCCTAACATGCAGCGATACAAATCATTTGTAAATACATTCTGTACAGAAAAGCTAAGTACATAAAAAGAAGACAAAAGAAATTGTGAAATTTACATTAAAAAAATGGATACAACCTTTATCGCGACAGAAGAATTGAGCTTAATATAAGCATTACTCATTTAACCATGTTTGTATAGTTTTCTCTGTAAACAATCCCTTTTTAAACATATTTACAAAGCAATTTTAGGCCTATTATGGGTATTTTTTGCTGGTTATTCCATGCCAATATAATTATAGAGTAAATACTGAGATTTGTTTGGTATCTTAAAAAAAAACACCATAATTTCTGTGTAATGTTACATGTATGAAGGCAGAACCTTTATGTAACAGATATTACTATTGGTCAGTTAGTATTTAACATGACCTTTGATTGGCTGGTTTCTTTCACTTTCCATTGGTCAATTGAAATCTAACGGCCCTTGCTATTGGCTGCTTTTTTTCCAGTTATTATTCAGATGTAAAACTTGTCTGCCAACATGTGCGTAAAAACGTACATGTACATAACAGTCCTTCTCATTGGTTAGTTGGTATCTTACATTAACTGTGATTGGCTGGTCTAATCCCTTTTCAAGACAGCGTGGTAGGCGTTTCGAAGAAGCACATAGGGGAAACAAGATTCCAGAAGATCTTGGGTCAAAAACGGTGATTCCTTCACAATCTGCAAAAGGATAAAAGCAAAAGGATGAAAATCACAAAAATAAAAAAAGACAGAAAAAAAATGTAATGTCCGTGACAGAGCCAATGACCCATGATATCTAATTAATGACTCAGAGAAATGATTCAAAACTCCTAGTCTGTAATCTCCTTGACCATTACTAGATGATAGATGTGTAAGATTTGAAAATATATTTTCTGGTTTATTCACTGAGCTTCTGAAGTACAAAATAACTATCTGATTAGGTCTCCCAAAAAAGTCTCTGGTTTCTGGTATGCGCGCGCGTCGCCGTAGCTATGCGTGTCGGCAAAATTTAAAAGTTATTGCAAAAAAGTTTTCTCCGTTTTTTTGTCTTGACTATCCAAATTTCCCGAAGAATGTTCGTGTCGGTTGAGATCGTAAGTGGGTGCAGAATTCTCAAACATTACGGCCTTACTGAGGTCACCTCAAGCTCCACCCTGAAGGATATTTTTGAGAGTTTTAAGGGGATCGAAGCGTCATCTGCAACATCAGCCGACATTTGAAGGAAAAAAAAGTAGGGGAAGAAGAAGAAGAAGAAAAAAAAAAAAAAAACGCGTCGCTGCACCACTTTTGGAGCAAGCTCCATACCAGAAACTGGAGACTTTTTTTTGGCCTTAAGCCCGGTTCATACTCCACGCGAATGCAAATGCGAAGCGAATATGCCGTGGAGGGAGCATTTGCTGCGAAATTCGTCGGAGTTGAAATGTGTTCAACTTGTGCGAATTCGCATCGCGAAAACACGCCCCGACGACACAAATGTGCGTTCGCGTTCGTTTTCGCGCCGAGTATGAACCGGGCTTTAGTCAGTAATGTCCGTAACACTGGGATTGCCCCCATGTCTAGTTTAAAGATGACATGAACTACCTGGTCCAAAAGCAGATAGAGCGATTCCTTGGCTTTGGGCTGTATCTGCTTGCTTGCCTCGCCACTGAGTGAAAGCAGACTGGATGACGCCAACTACAAGATCAAACAAGAAAATTCAACTCGTCTTAAATCGTGTAAGACATAAGAAATCTTTATTAATCTCCAGATGCAGAAATTACAAATGTATAAAAAACAATCTCAAATACCTTTTTGGGCCAGTGAATGTTCTCTGACTCACCAACTGACTGATTGACCGACCAACCGACCGACCAACTGACAGATTGCTTTTGACTGACTGACTGACTATTGAGGATGTTTGGTCCAACCTAGGCAAGCCACAACTATTGAGCAATTATGTAAATATTCATTTTTTTAAAAACAAACTTACTGCCAAAAATTCCTGCAACCTCTGTTCCACATCGCCGCGGCCGTGTAGAGTAAACAGCGACCCCGCAATGGCATTGATAGCCTTGGCGAAACAGTGGCAGTTGTTGGGATGCGCGTCCAAGACCCGGCTGTAGACAGTGGTCTCGCTGCGAACCAGAACGCGCAACGAGACCGCGATGTACACCATGATCAGGCAAGACGTATTGTAGTCCTCCGTTGGATTAACTAAAATGAAAAACAAAACAGTAGATTCAAAACTAAAATCATATCTAAAATGGGTCTCGTTTTCAACAGTTTAGGGTGCTATCTGGATTAGGCCAAGTACAAAAATAAAACAGTTTCTCTTCCCCATCCTGTTCCTCCTTTTTTTTAAATTCATACTTTTTGCAGTTTATTTTGCAAATTCTGTCCATCTATTGTCTTGTGATTTGTTTCCAATAAAATACTGGCTATGTAGACAGGCTGACGGCTCCTTTGGACACAATTTTGTATCACAAACAAATTGAAAAAAAAAATGGAAGAAACCATCCGCCATCTTGGAAAATCTGCCCAAAAAAGGGTGCGTCTTTCATTTTTTCAAAAAGCCCACACAAGAAACTATTTTTTTTTACTCGGCCTTATACATGATGCCAAGGTTCCCATTTTTTTTAAACATGCTACCTTTTGTTTCTTTAAACCACCCCCCCCCCCACCAAATCAGCCCCCATTTGTTTTTTTGACTCACTGTCCTTCTCCGCTTGCAGGGCGTGGCAGAGGGCGGGGTCCACATTACAAGGCAAGCCAACGCTGGATGCGAGCATGTCCACGGTACCCGCGTCCAGGCCCGACGCCTTGACGTGCTCCCGGAAATCCGTGATGGAGTTGTAGAGGAAGGAGATCCTACGATTCAGCGTCTGTTGACGACAAAAAGAAACTTGCATTCGTGGACAAAGAAAATCGACCAGGGTGGGATGTCAACCTACAACCAGCAGGACACCGTACCGGTGCTCTACCCATTGAGCTACATTGCCCTTTGTTTCGGGTCAGTTTATCTTGTGGTTTAAGTGATTTTTTTTATCAATATCTGATCATTTTGTGCAAATTCAATAAACTTTGTAAAAATGTGCATTGCTTTATCACGCAGCTACAATCCTGGCCAAATCTCGCTGGGCCCCCAACCCCCGGCCCCCGTTCAATGTTGTCTCTCATTGCGCCGTGTGTGCTCCATCAGCTGGAGAGAACAACATTGACCGGGGGAGCGGGGGAGTGAGTGACCGTGGCAGGCTCAGGAAGTGTCCCAACCATTTTGGCTGGGATCATAGCCTGAAAACATGGGAGAAATCTCATAGTAAGGTTTCCAGGTAATTTGTTTAACATGCACTGATCCTGCTCCAGTATACAAGGCCCATTGCTTAAAGATATAGTCCATCATTTGTAATTTGTGCATTTTGTTCGTTTGAAGCCACAAAAGAGTTCAAAATCTAATAAAGGATACTAAGCAACTAACCTGATAAAGTTTCAGCTAAGCTTCAGCTGTACATTCCGAGAAAAACAGCATTCTAAGATTTCAATTTCAAATCAAAAGTTACTGAATCATGTTTTGAATTGCAGCTATACACGACGTCGCGCACTGATCCGACGAATTATAACAACCGCGCGCGCGTGTGCGTCGTTCCAATACTTGCGTGCGCTGCGCTGAATAACAAAACGAACTACTAATTTAAATTTTCCTACGGTGCTTCTTAAGAATCACCGTTGGAAATGCCTTCTTTCGTTGATTACTTCAAAATGACAGCTTGCCAGAAAGAATCATTTCACAGGGAGTTTAGTTCCCTTACTATCTTTCAACTAAGTTTGTTTTTCAACAATAATTACGCCAGTTACTTTTCGGATGGCTGCAAATGATGGACTATAGCTTTAAGTCTTTTACTTTAGAATTAAGTACCTTAATCGGGGATTTAAAATTGAGCTAATATATTGGCTTGTCATCTCTAGTGGGTGCCATTTCAAGTTTACGGACTCCTGCACGAACAGTTGATGACATTTTTGACCACTTTCGCAATTCCATCTTAAGAGCACCTTCCTGAATAACCAAGTAGGAATTCTGAATTTGTACTCACATCTGACAGAGCCTCCTGTGTGAGTGACTTGAAGGCCAGAATCACGCCGATGATGTTGAGTCTGGTCAGAAGGTTCTCAATTGCTGTAACGTAGAAACAACACGGAACCAGCTCGTTAGTAAAAGCTTGAATTGCAAATTTCTAAAACACTGCGTAGCTAATTTATACTATCAGCAAACAGCTGCACGCACAAAATGTGTGTAAGAGACATTAGCGCGTGATTCAGCCCGAGAACCAACACGCGCGCGTACTCCATTCGTTTGCACTACACTTTCTGGTTCTAAATGACGTCACACTTTGGTACTCCATTGGAATATCTGAATTCTGACTTACATTTGAGCTGTGCGCAGAGTTCAGCCATCATGGCCGGCTTGTCAAAGTTAGTCCGCAGCTGCTGAAGAACATCCTTGTTTTCCGTCACAAGTTTCTACATTAATATCAGACAAACACAGACAATAAGATAAAAATATTATACAAATGACGAATGCTTACGAGTGCAATGCTAAGAATACTTTCGTGAGGTGAACGATGGAATGTTCCATTCCACCAGGCAAAGCTGAGTGGAATGGAACACTCCATCTGCCAAGTAAAGACAGTAAGATAAAAATATTATACAAACGATGAATGAGTGCAATGGTAAGAATAATTTCATGAGGTGAATGTTCCATTCCACGAGGTGAAACCAAGTGGAATGGAACACTCCATCTGTCACCGAATGAAATTATTCTTTCTATTGCACGAATGTGAAACATTCATTATTTGTTTTATACAACACCTGGATTAATCCTCTTAATTGATCTGATTGGTAATGTGTAAACTAGTACTATGAATGTACAGTAATAAAGTTATCAGAGCTGTGTGAAAGCGCAACCAATATGTGACTGTGCAATAGAAGTTCTATTTACCATGGAATGGATCTTCTATTTTCGCAGTGCAGCCGCGAACGTGCGTTGGGATGAATAATTCAATGACATGTGACCAACAACCCACCAATGAAACAACTGGGATTTATTCAGGCGTTGCATAGAAAACAGATATTACACAGGCCATTTCTGAAACCATGGTTCGCTTTCAGCTTTGTCTCTTTAACCCACGACCACCTCTGCTAGACAAACCGCGGTTGCCCAAGTAGGACTAGATTGGCCAATCACTGTTGCAGAATGACTAATGAATAATCATGAGTAATGAATAATTCATGAGCTGACCTTGAGTTCACTGACTTGGCTGGCAATGTGCCACATCAGGCTCTCGTGAAGGAATTTCATGCCGTACGCTCCGATCAACTCGGCCAGGGATCTCAGTTCTGAAAATAATGTAACACAGAACTTGTGAATACCTTTTTCATTATTTACAGGTAATTTTCATAGAATTTTATTTGATGAACGTTTTTTGAGCAGCAGACTGCGAAATTGAAAAGTCGGTCACCTGTTACATCTGTGTATTCCTCAGCGTTGAATGGAAGCTGTGGGTCCGGAGCCAGGCTGATGAAGGCTCGTTGGTAAGGCGAGAAACAGATTTGACCCGAGGTGACCCTCCGCAGCAAGACTTCAAGGTACCTACACAAAAATAAACAAGTACGCACAGAGCATGCTCAGATGAAGCCATTTTTGTAATTTGCAAACAGATTTGCAATGGACCTTTCCAGCTGCAGATGAGTCATTAGTTCACACTCACTAAGTACAGTGAAATCTCGAGAAGTCAAACTCTGATAACTCAAAACAACTGTTAAGTCAAACAAAGAATCCATTGCCTTCAGTAGTATAACAATGATATACAACCCAGCTTAACTCAAAACTCTGCTCAAGTCAAATTTTAAACCTGTTCCCTTGAGGTTTGACTTATCGAGATTTCACTGTAGATCAAAACTTTTGGTCAGGTGACATGGGCCAAAAAGGTGGGCGGGGTATATATTTGGGTGCTGCCAGTAAAGGGCGCTCGTTTGAGCCGATTTTTGTGTTCGCTGTTGGACAGAGAGTTTTAAAAGAAAACAAATAGTGTGGTGTGGATATTTTTCGTACCAGTTTGTGTAGAGCATGGTGATCGTCTTTTCGCCATGGCTGTCCAGTTGTTGTGTCTGTTGCAGCATGACGTTGTTGAACACTCGGGTCACGTCGATGTGAACTGCGAGAGAACAAATTGCACCAAAAAATCACAACCGCAGTCTGACTTTTCTGACTTGAATCCCTGAATTTGAAGATCTTTGTGTTCTTACCATGACTCTCTATGCTCTGCAGGACATTCATGTAAGTACGGACGCTCGTCAGTAGCTCAGACGGCTTAGCAATCTCGTTGGTCTCCGGTTTATACATCATCATTCCTACGAGAGCTCTGTGGAGGAATGAATGACAGGTGTCAAATTTACTTCATCAAATGGATATAGGCGTGGCTTTTCATCAGTGGGCGTGGCTTTGTATCAATGGGCGTGGTCTATTATCAAGGTGATGATTTCTGACAGGTACTGATTTTTGGTGTGGTGTTGATTGACGTGTTTTCTTTCACACAAGAGGGTGTGGTTCTTGATCGGAGGCGTGGCGTTCAATCAAAGGGTGCAGTCTCTGATCATTGTATTAGAATCAGGAATTGGTTTATTTATCAGAGGGTGTGGTTCTGGATATGACTGAATGTTATCGGGGGTGTGGTTCTTCAGGGGTGTGGCATTTTTTTTAAAAGGGTGTGGTTTCTGATAGGAGGGTGTGGTTTCTGATAGGTGTGGCCTGAGGGATTTGAATCACAGATTGGTTAACTTATCAAAGAGTGTGGTTCTTAGTAAGATTTAATCTTATCAGGGGTGTGGTTCGTTATCAGGGGTGTGGCTTCTTAAAAGAGGGTGTGGTTTCTGAAAGGCGTGGTCTTTGACTACAGAAGTAACACTGTGATTCTTACTTGGCAAATCTTGCCTCCAGATGCTGGATGAGGTACTCCCTGGGAGCAAACGTGTGCTCCCAGACCATGATTTTGGGAGTGTAGTTGATGGCATAGCAGAGCTCCGTCAGGCTGATGTGAAGTTTGTCATGACTGAAAAGATAACGAAAGAAATAACAAATGCATCAGGGGAGGATTTTGTAGGAAGCAGGAAGGTTCCCTGCAAAAAATAAAACCGGCCTTGTACTTACACGCTAAGACTCTCTCTGGTCTTGCGAAAGCTCTCGGATCCAGGCACGGCAGGCTCAGGGATGTTCTTATTCTTCTTATCCTTCTCCTTGATTCGGCGTCTGAGATGCTCATTCTTGGCCAGATGTGGGGCTGCGTTCTTTGGCAACAGCTGGAAAAAAAAAATTAACTATCAATTTAAAAAAATCTGCAAATATTTTTTTGAGAAAATCTCAGTTGAAGAGAAATACCTTTTCAACAAAAAAAATAATGGTATTCAAAATTCATTCAGTAACTGGTTGTGAAAATTCCCGAGACTTGACTTAGTTGTATTAATCTTGAACGACGCCCTCTACTGTCATGGTAAATGTAGCCGGCTGCATTAAAACAAATCCGGACTTGAACAAAGACTAGGTTCCGGTCCAAACAAACCTGGTCACTGAGCATGCACTGCTCCGTGCATATCTTGGTCACCACGTCCTTAACCTCCTTGGCTAGTCTGTCCAGGAAGGCGTTGGTGACGGTCAGGCTGCGGTCTCCAATGTGGTATCTCTGCAGATGAGAATGGGAGAAGCTAGTCAGCGGCTGGTACAGAGTCTACTTAAATCCCAAGGTGATATAGGATGTATCCGAATGGCTTGGCTGTGGCCGGGAATAACATGCGCACCTATGGAAGCCACTGGCTAGCGGCTACAGCCACTTGCCATAGATTCGGGTGTTACTTCTAGTCATAGTCATGCGATTCAGACACAGCCATACACAGGTGGATTTTGTACAACTGATTTACAAATTTGCTAAGCTGTGAAGACATTTGCTTATCGAGCACAGGGCCTAATATGAGCTGCTAAGCATTTAACACAGAATTAAGCGAAAAAGTGTAATAAGCAAACTCTACTTGAATACTATAACAATAAATATTATATCGTATGACATCTGTGAGGCGTTTTGGCAAAATGAGACAGAACTGGGCACGGGCCTTAGAGGAGAAAAATGCAAAAAAAGCGAATGGGGGTGATTTTTTTTGTGTGATTTACAGATTGATATAATGTTTGATATGTGTACTACACATGTTTTAAAGACAGGGTGCAAAAATTGTGAAATAAAGTGTTTTTAAGGAAAAAAAAACAATCGGCATCTTTCATTTTGACGAATACAAAACTCAAACCTTTAAGGGCCTTTTTCTCAGTGTTATACTTTCTTGACATGTTGAAAAATTTGAACTTTAAACGGCCATAACTTGTCACTGGAATGTCCAACTGAGGTGCAACAAACAGTATTTTAAGGAGAATTTTATTCTCTTTCCTGATACCCACAAACCCTCATTTCGACCTCTGCTCATTTCTGTCTCATTTTGCCCGAACGCCCTCACACTTAGGCTGTTACCTAAACAGCATAAATTAAAATACATCACAAAAGTTCAACACACATTTTATTTGGTAAATTCTACACTAAAAGGAAATTCATTTTATGAGAACTGATGAGATATTTAAAAAGATCTTGACAAAAAGAACTACGATCTATGAACAACATTGAAACTCTAGGGAAGTGAAAAACACGGTGCTAAAAGTCAAGCATGCAAAAAAGTGATTAAAATAATGTCTAATTTTGACAAGAATAACTGGAAGTGGCTAAAACTTTGTTTTACAAGCACAGTGAGTAAAAATCTACCACAAGTGACTTCTGAAATGGTTTGAAGAAACTAGCACATTGGGCACGACAGGACACGGTGTGAATGACAACACAGAACAATGGGTTAATAATGCACTTCGACAAAAAAGTCGGAAAAATTAGAAAAGGCCAAAAAAAAAAGTCTCCGGTTTCTGGTATGCGCGCGTTTGACTGGAATCCCGCTGCTGCACAATTTTAACGTGTTTTTAGATGGGGTTATGGTCGAGAATAAGCTTTATGTGGCCTCTCTGGACTCCCATATATTTGCACTAAGTTTAGTCGGGCACCATTTGCAGTCATCAGCCGACAGTTGAAGCAAAAAAATCAGGTAAGAAAAAAAAAAAGGTGCGTCGTCGCACCACTTTTTGGGCAAGCTCCATACCAGAAACCGGAGACTTTTTTTTTTTGGCCTAAGGATTGGCCAACATTTTTTATGAATTTATTCTAATTCCATCCAGGAGTCCGTATTCATCCAAAGACACACACAATTTCTATCCCCAAATATGGAAGAAACATCAATGAAATCTAGGGCTGTCCTGAATGTTATCATCAACTAAATATTCAAATAGCTTTTTGCCGATTTGAATATTCGAAAACATGCAAATATGGAAGAAACATCTATGAAATCTAGGGCTGTCCTGAATGTCTGATCATCAACTGATTATTCAAATAGCTTTTTGCCGGTTTGAATATTCGAAAACATGCAAATATGGAAGAAACATCAATGAAATCTAGGGCTGTCCTGAATGTCTGATCATCCACTGAATATTCAAATAGCTTTTTGCCGGTTTGAATATTCCAAAACATGCTGCAGCTGGCAGTTTCAAATATGCGAATATTCGGTCAAACGCAGTTTTGTGTAATCGAATACTAACTTAATCGAAAAGGGACAGCCATAATGAAATCTGCAACATCTTTCCTCTGATAATTTTAACATAAGGACTTTTCTAATCATTTTTTCAGAAAGTCTGGTGTCTTTCTTTTAGTAATAGACTTCTACTGCAGATGGTGCTGGGGAACCAGCTTACAAGTGGTACGGAGATTGGGAAAGAAAACGACACAACGATCACAGGTGGAATTTACCCACAATTCTACATGCAGCCATTCCATTTAAGACGCATGCACCCTCTGTGAAATGAACCCCCAGGTGTTTCAACACATGAATGCTTTGGAATGGTTACCATGGTAACTTAAAATTATGTCCAAAATGGTGACTATGTGTATACTTCTTCACAAAAAAATGGAATTCTGCTCCTGACAAATGATTGGAAAGTGAGGACAAAAGTGACGAAAATAAAACTAAACAATTTTTTAGAAATGAAGTTACTTATGGAATGGCTGATGTAGCGAACACTTAGCCTTACCCTATCCATAAAATATGTGCTTGACTCGCGTTCATTGCGTGCACTAATCTGTAAAAGTTAGCGAGTTTTAGTTTTGGGTTAAAGCATTTTGAGATTATTCAAAGATTATCGAAGGGCTGTCTGTCACTGAAAGAAGCGACAGGCTGACCTACATTAGTTAGAATTTTGAAAATTAAACAGAGGTACGTTTTTACACATGGGTTACAGAATATGCAAGCAATCCAAACGGCAAAGTGCTCAAGATTATTTGAAACCACAAAAGTTAGAAAAATGTGAATAATATAAAGGAGGGGTGATTTCTGGGGAAATGGGAATCAGAAGTACATTTTCAACGTGCTTCACAATGCAGTGAAGAAAAAAGAGTTGCTCTCGGTCAAAACTTATTTTCAAATTAAATCTGAAAGCTGTTTAGAAAAAGTGTGTGAAAACAGGTTTAATGGAAGGATACCACTAGTAGAGAGACTGTGAAAAGTCTATTACAATTATTTCTGAGGAGAAGTTAAAGGAATTCAGAAAGTTATTATCTGAGGAAAAGGGCAAGAACAGTTGTTTTTAATTTAAAGGTTGGAAAAGAAAACAAATCAGTTCTTAGTTGAACTATGACACAATGTCTGAGGCAAGATGTTCTTTAATGTTTTTTACATATGGATTAATTTAAGGGTGCTAGACCATCTGGGCTATCTAATCTGTATGTTTTTTTCCAAAGGGGCACTAGTCCGAAGCTATGACACCCATACATGCCGCAAGGGCCGGGATTTGTCCCGTAGTTCATGATGCTAGCAAACAAGCAAAAAATCCAAACAGAAACACACAGCTTTTGGACATATGGAGTCGAGTTTCGAAAAGAAAGTACTATCCTGACGTCACTTTGGCGGTTGAGTACAAAGTCTGCGGTGCCTTGAGATTTTCTAAGCGCTTGCTTACAGAAATGTTTCTCAACCCAAAATTCATTTTTTGTCAACATGTTTGAAACGATGGACAGTTGAGGTTATATGCGATGAAACAAATGGTGTCAGGATACTACATTCTACTGTAAATTTTTTTGTGATGACTAAAAGACAATTTTTTTTTCTGTCGGCTTACCTCTTCCGGGCAGAGTTCATGGGTGCAGTTGATGAAATGCGTACATATCAACGGGAACGCGATGGCGTAACGAGCCTGCGACGCGTAGGTCAGACACATCTCAAACATGCGGTCAAAGAAACGGCTACGATGGCTGGAAACGGTGGAAAGCAAATACGATGAAAAGATGATGATGTGTAGTCGGAATTAGCAAAGACCAGTTGCATCTAGACAACGGCAATTTCAGTGTTATGTAATGTCCGTGATGGAGCTTTTAAGAACTCAGTGAATAAACCTGAAAATGTATTTTTCAAATCTTATACATCCATCATCTAGTAATGGTCAAGGAGATTACAGACTAGGAGTTTTGGATCGTTTCTCTGAATCGTTAATTAGATATCATGGTTAATTGGCTCTGTCACGGACATTACACTTTCTTTCATGAAGGTAGAATTGCTCATAAATGCAGTTGGACTGAAACAAAAAGTGACTATATACTAGTGAAACTCCGCTGAAAATGATTCATATTTCACTTGGAAGAGCAATATTGAGTCAATTTTGTTTAGTTCGTTGAACCGATTTGCAAGTTAAAAGAAATTCTGGACTATCCAAGACAAAGACAGAAGTAAGTTCTGTTCATTGTCAAAAATATGGAATCTTTGTTTCTAATTCAACTATTGCTTTGAAAGGCATTCAAATCATTGAAAACAATCTTCTCTTTTGTACATTAATGAGTAAGTTCAGGCGCGAACTGTTTTTAACCATAGTTCGACTAACTTCTCTCGAACGAGGGATGGTTGGACTGCTCTAGTCGACTACTTGGAACTGGACCATAGGGCACAGTTCCATCGCAGGTTACTAATAACAGCACGCATCGCAAAGCACAAGAGGGAAACCAGAACCAAGAAGTTTTGGGATGACGTTTTGACCATTGTTTGACTAGAGGCGTTCCCACGTTGCTATCAGTGAGCAGGCGTCAACCACTAGTCGACTAATGGTCGTCGCCCTAACTTGCAAAATGACACTGGGGCAGCAAAGCGACAAAGCTCCATACCAGAAGACGCTCAAGTCGGAGGTTTCGTTGAGGATCTCATCCAGTGCGTCCACCATGATGGTGTGGAACACTACGGTGTTCATGGTCCGAGCCAGCTCATGGTTCTCGGTCAGGATCAGCGTGGCTTTACGGATGCTAGTGTAGGCTTGCAGCCGGAACCAGTCTAGACGGAAGCCACGGAAGTCAAACACGACTCCGTTCTGAACTATGGATGAGAAAAAATGAAACAAAAGAAACAAGGGTCAAAATTTATTATAATGCAATATACCTACGTGCCAATGCACAGGCTTGTAAATGAGTCATTGCAAGTCCATCACAAGTCATCATAAGTCAATCACAAGTTAGTCCCCAGCCATCACAGGTCATCACAAATTATTTCAAGTCAATCACAAGTCAACCACAAGTCATCAAAAGTCAATCACAAGTAGTCACAAGTCATCACAAGTCATCACAAGTCAATCACAAGTCATCACAAGTCATCACAAGTCAATCACATGTCAATCACAAGTTATCACAAGTCAATCACAAGCAATCGCAGGTCATCACAAGTCAGTTACAAGCCATCACAAGTCATCACAAATCAATCATAAGTCAACAATGTCATCATAAGTCATCACAAGTCAATCACAAGTCAACCAGTTGTCAATCACAAGTCAGTCACATGCCATCACAAGCTATCAAAAGTCAAGCAAAAGTAAATCACAAGTCATCACAAGTCCCCCTGTTTTAACTTACGTCACAAACTATTCAAATGAACTGGCAAAAGCCTTCCTTTTCATATTGCTCACTACCTCTGTCAATACTTGTCAGTGACTGCCGATGCGTTTCCCTATTAATTCAAAACATGTGCACTGTTTACCTTGTTGAAGGCTCAGATTTTCCATTGTCTGTACGAAGGACGACAGAATGACCGATTCATCTTCGGAGCACAGTGGAAGATTCTAAACAGAGAACCAAATACAATAAAAAATTTGGAATTTTGCAGGTTTTTTACAAAAACAAAAGAAGAAGGAAGGAATGTTGCATCTTGACGCCACTTGTTAATCATATTATCTCAATGAGGGTCAGTCATTAACAAAATGTTGAAAAAAAACCAATGAATCTGGGACTGAGAAACATTTCCAAATTTGATAGGAAATACTTTGAAAATGCACTTGACTCTCCATAGACTTTGTACACAGCCAAAGAAGTGGCGTCTGGATACTGCATTCTTTCCCCAAAAAGATTGAGTTTGACTATTTGCATTTACCTTAGCGAGATTATTGAGAACAATGGCATCGTAGCCGTTCAGATACTGAATGTAGTACTGCTGAAGAACTTGATGGTACTTCTTCACAAGTGCTGATTGGATAAAGAAAACAATAAAAAAAATTGTTAAAATTTCAACAGTAAGTAATTCAAAGGTTTATACATGAAGAAGTCATGTTGGTATTTATTGAGATTAGTAACAACAAACTATCTCAAGGAAAAAGCTACGGACCTCGGAGTTCCTCCATGTGGAACAGCATCTCAGGCAGCAACGGATCCAAGAAATCCTCCACGTTGGATTTGGATTTCATCTTGGGATGCGGATGTTCAGCGTGACGGACGAGCCAGAGGATCTCATCGCGGGCAAAGGCTAAGCCCATGAAGACGTACAAGGCCTAGAAAAGGAAGAGGAAGAATTGTATAGGGTCTGTGCATGATCAAACGAGGGCAGTATGACGTACAAGCACACAAGTGTTATGGCAGGCCAACAATTAGCATGTGATGACGTAGAAGGTCTGGAAAACATTAAGAATTGTATTGGGTCTGTGCATAATCAAACGAGGGCAGTATGATGTACAAGCACAAGAGTGTTATGGCAGGCAAACAATAAGCATGTGACGTTGTAGATAGCCTGGAAAACATTAAGAATTGTATTGGGTCTGTGCATGATCAATGAGGGCGGTATGACATAAAAGGCAATGGGTCTTATGGCAGGCAAGCGATAAGCCCGTGAAGATGTACAAGGCTTACAGATGGAAAAAAGTAAGAACTGTATTGGGTATGCCCGTGGTCAAACGAGGGCAGTATAACATATTAGCCAGAGAGCGCTATGGTAAGCAAATTCTAGCCTAATAATCTGCCCACAAGACAAAAGGAGGTACTGTATCGGATCTGTGCATGAGCAATTGAGGGCAGTGTAAAGTTCAAACTAGAATTTTATGGCAGGCAAATTCTAGCCCCATGATCAATTCTGTTTTCTTAAGACTATTTCAAGGAGTCTTACTTTTGGTCCAAGGAGACCGGGTTGGTCAGACAAGATGGTCACCAGTTCCTTCAAAGCTCCTCGCAAGAACTTCCGTCGGTCGCGATGAATGGTGGATCTGTGAGGAATGGCGTTTACATAAAAACAATGATTTTAATCAACGTATCAAGTTTTTGGAAAGACTGCTGGAGGAATGAATGCTGTTTGAACAAATTTAAATCTCAGTCAGTGCCGCAAACTTTCATCATAAAATTTAAACTTTTTGTCCAAATTTGAACAAAGAAATTGACTGGCGCAGGGTTTAAACCTGTGACCTCCGGATTACCGTTCCAGTGCTCTACCAACTGAGCTATGTAGCTCTATGTTGGTAGTTCCCCATTTTGTCAATGTCTTTGTTCAAGGGGCGCTAGTCAGAAGCCATAAACCTGTATATGCCATGTAGCCAGGGATCACGCCCAAAGTCATGATGAAGCAACAATAACAATGCTGCAAACCCAGGAAATAGCAAACAGGAACCACTTAAAGAGGATACAGCTTTTTATAACCAATTTTTCAAATAAACCACAGTTAGTTTCCCCTGAAAATAACATTGAAACTTACGCGTGTTGCAGCGCGTGGTTGCAGCATTCCTTGACCTCCAGTACCCTTTTGTGAAAGCCCTTGATTGTGTCGAAGAAGACCTCGATGTATTTGTGGAACATAAGGACCTCATCACGGAAAAGCGTGATGCAGAAACCGCCTTGCAGGGCAGGCCTCCAGAGGGCGTGAGCGCGCTCGTTGCTCTGAAGGAGCGTCGGGCAGACCAGGAAACCAACTGGAGCAACAAAAATAATAATAATAATAGTGGATATTTATAAAGCGCACGTATCCACCAGGACTGGTGCTCAAGGCGCTACATCATTATTACCCCTGCTCATTGGGCACATGAAACATTCCAAATACCATCTCAGCTCCCTGGGGAGTATACAGCTCGATGCAGCCTGTTAGGCGCAAGGAAGCCAATTCAATCACAATAACCATCTCTGCCCTCACAGGTACCCATTTACTCCTGGGTGGAGAGAAGCAATGAGTGACTAAGTGCCTTGCCCAAGGGCACACGCACCATGACCCCGCCAGGACTCGAACCCACAACCTGCAGCTTTACCTGCAGACCACGAATCAGTGCCCTTAACCACGAGGCCACAGTACTCCACACTCCAAAACCCAAACAAACAAACAAAATTTGTCATTTTTCAAAAAGGTTAGAAGGCCTTAAATTTCAATCCTACTAGACTCATTCCAGGAAGCAACATCAATTAATCTAAATTCTTTAACACTAACCAACCCGACCCTTCAAAATCGAACTGCATATTTTGTTGGAATCTGTGGGAGTGAGCACTGCACCAGTAAACTGATTATGCTTTACATGGGGTCAGGCATACCACCATAATCAGAGTCCAACAGTTTGGGTGTTGAGTTTACCGTATGGTGTTGGATTTTGTAAGAGCAAGGAAGGTTTCTAGTAAATCACTCAAGGGGGTAGGGTTAAATAACATTCATAAAATGGTTTAAGTAATATTTATAAGTACCCAGCTACTTTTTGAAGAAAAATTCTATAAAAAATACAAATTTACAATTTACAACTTACGGATTATCCATCGTTCCATGGTATCCAGAGACAAGTATTCACAGCGCATCTATTAAAAATGAAAAGAAAAAAAAAATCCCAATTTCTCACTAATTACTTATCTTCAAAAGAAAACAGTAAAGACAAAATAATCACGCCAAGGTGTTAGATTTAATTACTTTTTTTGGGGGGGGGGATCTGAATGGCAACTAAACTTTTAGCATACAGAGAGGTACCTTATAGATTCGACAAGTATCTGCTCAAAACGGATTGTTCATTGTTTTAATTCTGTCTTATTAAAATGTCCAATTGACTTGTATAACCACAATTCAGTGAACATTTCCCTTGAAAATAAAATCTAAATATTTCTATCATTGCAAATAATTTTTAAGGGGTACCCCTGAAAAGAAGTTTTGATCGTTAAAAATTTAAGAAATGCAAATGTTCATGTTGAATCCGTATTGTAGTCTAAACTTTGATTTTAAGGGGTCGAGGATTTCCCAGTTAGTCTCTGGCTCCAGTCTTTACTTACAGTCTCGCTCTGTGCAGGGTTCAAGAGCAGCGCTGGTTTGGAGACTAAGCTGAGCATCTCCTGGGATCGCATCTCGCCGGCCATCATGTTGCGTCTTGGGTAAAGATGGAGCAAGGAGAACAAAGCTGAGGCAACGCACTGAGGAAACGACAAAGAGAATAAAAACCTCAAAAACTAGCCAACATTTTTCATTTAACACATCTTCGAGATGTGTGCTATTGATACAGAGGCAAATTCATGCTGGTATCAGGATATTTCTGGATAATTTTATTTCCTTCCTGGGCTGGTGTGAGTATATTGAATAGCGCCATCTACAGTTCATGCACAGATCCATTACAAATTCTCACCTTCTCCAAAGGAACGAACTGCTGCGTCAGCTTCTTAACAGGGCTGTCAAACTCGCTGATAAGCGTCCCCAGGCGGGCAAAAGAGGGCTCACTATAAAATAAACAAATGAAGTTCATATCACACAAAGAAAACAATATGAGTAATTCCAGCATAATGACATGTACGTGACGGACCTTTTAAGAGCTCAGTGAATAAACCGGAAAATATATTTTTAAAATGTTATACATCCGTCATCTAGTAATGGTCAAGGAGATTACAGACTAGGAGTTTTGAATCATTTTCTCTGAATCATTAATTAGATATCATGGTTAATTGGCTCTGTCACGGACATTACTCTTCTTTTTATAATACTGAATTTGAATGTGGGCGACAAGCCAAGGCACGACAGGGGAAGATGACTGATTTTTTTTTTACTGACTGTGACTGCTCAGATAGCAGGAGGGTTTACCCTAACCCCATAGGCCATTTTTGCTAGGAACCATCCTCAATCCTCCAAAATGATCCAAAATGTTGCACTGAAGGTCAAATGAAGGATACCCAGCGCCTCAATCCTTCAAAATCGTCAGACAGGCCTGCCTCTCAAAATGCATTCATCCTCAATCTTCCAAAATCATCCTCTTCAAACACCATTCATCCTCAATCCTCCAAAATCCTCATGTGCTTCAACACCATTCATCCTCAATCTTCCAGAATCCTCCAAAACGGCCTGGAGGATTTTGGAGGATTGGGGTCAGCTAGATAAATTTACCTCTTTCCGTAGGCCAGTTCGTACGCCTGGTTGTACAGCCCCAGCATGGCTTTTCTGTCTTCGACTCTGGCTAGCAGCATCATGATGGAGATGTAAGTGACCACCAACTCCAGGTAGTTCTTCGTCATGTCAAAGTTGGCCGTCTGTCAAGTATAAATGAAAATCAGTCAAAAACTGGACAGTCTTTAGGGACTGTGACCATTCAGCCCTGGTATGAAAAGGGCCCCCCCGGTACCTCGTCCGGTCCAAAGCCAGTCTCGTCCAGTACATGGTCCTGTCTGACCAGAAGTTTTGAAGTCAGTCAGGCGCATCAATTTATTGCCCTTCAGAGAACGTCCAGAGCAGAACAATAGCAGAATTACCGGATTAAAGATAAAATCCTTCCATAACGCCTTGGTAATTTACGGTCCCATTGTGCGCATGGTCCCAATGTGCCGACGAAAGTGTTCTATTGTTTCGCGCTGAGAGATGAAAACCACAAGCGGGTTTCTTCTGGGATATATTACATGTGTCAATACTTGCAAACAATAGACCCCAGGATAGAGGATTAGCAACCGGACCAGCTCCTGGGCCGGTAGCTGGGACGGTACGTGAGGACTTCTTGGGAGAGGACGAGCTTACTGGGGGGCCCTTTTCATACCGGGGCTGAATGGTCACGGGCCCTTACCGGAATGGAGATACAGGAAGAGAACCCACCCTCAAGTCCCCAAAGTACCTCTGCAGCACAAGGGGAACGAACATATCATGAACCCACGCCGTCCACTACCATCACAAGCAACAGAATGGCTGAGGTATCAGATGACGACAAAACCCAGGACTCCGTACAAATGATAAATAGACAGGCATGACGTTATATAACATAGGTTTGCAGTTGCAGTTCAAATAATTAATAAACAGATTTGAGAACGCGATACTCACAATGTCAAAATGGACATGGCAGCTGGACAGAACAGTCAGAAGCTCGGTCACATGATCCTGTCAGGAAATGAATAAATTAATTCAAGGTCCTTTACTTAGTAAACGTAAGTACGGAGTTGGGGTTAGTAAGCATGTTCACGTTCATATGCGCCATTGTGTTTACGGGGCAAAAAGAACACACGCTGCTAGACGTGAGCGCATATTGGAATGACCTGGAAGCGCAAAAGTTTCTGATTGATGCATGTGCTCAGCAACGCATGTTCCTTTTGGATTTTGATGGAGTTGGTGAGGTTAGGGTTAAATGAATTCATTGAATACAAACCCCAATCTGATTCTCAATTCAAATTTAAACAAGGAAACTGGCATGACTGAATATTGAACAAAACAGCCAATCGCACATACCAAAGAGTGTAAACTTTGGGCCTGCTTTGTTGGCCACAGGGAAATTATTAATTATTGGCCAGCATCGAGAACCCCATAAACGGAAAAAAAAGTTACTTAATCCTGATGCCCCTTGGTCAGCTGACAAACATCGGTCTCCACATGCCTCAATATCACTCAGTGTTAATTTGAATATGAAAGCAGGGATTGTCTTGTCTGTAATCTGTCCAGTGAATGGCATGATTTTACAGCCGACATACTTCCTGGTTTACAAATGTGAAACTAAGAATGAAAAGTATCTCTTGTTTGAAATGACCAAAGTATACTCTTACGAGATTCTCATGATCTGATGATTGTGCTTTGTTGTGTTTACCGTCAGCGTTTGTTTTCTGTTAAAAGTTGTCCTGATTCTTTACATAATATTCTCTGAACACATTGATTATAACCTAAATCAATGGCTATTGTATGTAAAGTGCTAAATTCTTGGTAAATGAAAAACTTGCATTCTCAATATGCTTATGTGTATGCATATCCCTTATCTTTCACATGCATTTAATGTTTTAGCAATATCAATTTTAAAAATAAAGTGAATCTCAGTTTCTTCAATTTGCAAAAAGAACCTTTCTGACCAAACTTTCTCTTTCACTTTGTCGTTTTTGTTGTTGTTATATTTGTCTGTATTTTTCTCACCGTGTATTCATGGATGTCTCTGAACGTTGTGTAATACACGCTCAACACTTTCAGGATTTCGGCTTTCCGCTGATCGATTGGTGCTAATTGACCCTGCCAAGAAAAAATAATGATGATGAAATGTAAATATCAGAGAACGAGGAAATAACATTGGACAAGGAAGGAAACGATTGTATATTTACTTAGATTCCATCTTTGAGCATTTCTCAAAACTATATCAGAGTATTACGCTGAAAGAAATTGCCAGATAGTTTCTTACCAACTGTCTTATTTTAATGTTTTAACTCCAAATTAGTTTGATTTCTTTTAGTCAGACACTCTTTTGTAGAACCAAATTTAATTGAAATAAAAGATTACACTCCAATGACTGTTATTAAAAAACAGTGACTGATACTACTGGATAGAGTTTCCTACAGAGCATCATTCTGTCTACCAAAAACAAGCCAGCAACTTTTAGGAAATTAGGCAAAAGATATTTTAAGGATTAATTCAAATCCTGCCATTCTCCCACCTGTATATTTTTCTCTGTGTGGGGAAACTTCTTGACAATGTTCTTCAGACACGGCTCCAGAGCCTTCTCGGACAGAAATGCTGGGCGTGATCGTGGATCTTGACATGCCTAAGAAAGAAATTAAAAATCAACAAATGTTATTTAATGGGTCAAAGGTCAGAAAAGGTTCACTTACTTTTTGTATCTTCCTCAAATAAAATTGGCAGTGGCGTAAGTATGTGCCGGTGTAAATATGTGCCAACGAGTTGGGGGGGGGGATGGGTGATGACCAAAATCCAAAAAAAGATCGGTCGTGGAAATTTGAAAAGGGGGAGGGGCAGGTGGGCTGGACACCACATTACACCAGGGGGCGCTCTTCAGGATACAGATGCATTTTGTTCTCATCACGAAAAGGTGGGGGATGATTCAATAGCCTATCCCTCCCTTTTCTAAAAGTGGGGGGGGGGGGGGATACATACCCCCATCCATGCCATCATTCTCCCCCCACCCCCCTCCCGGATTTACGCCCCTGAAAATTTGCAAAGACAACGATTAAATAAAATATTCACAATTTGTTGATTACGTGATCTGCTTGAGGGAAAGGACATGTCATAGATTTCCTGATACCACTTTCAACTTTCGTCATTCCATCTTTCCACTTCAATTGTTTATTTTAATTACAGAAACGAGAAAGACTGTTGCATCTTGACGCCACTTTTTTTCATCATAATCTCAGTCAATGAAGGTCAGTCATTGCAAAAATGTGTGGAAAAAAACATGGATCTGGGACTGAGAAACATTTCCGATTTCGTTAGAAAATATTTGGAAAATGCACTCGACTCTCCAAAGACTTTGTGTGCACAACCAAAGAAGTGGGATTCGTATTGATTACTGCATTAGGCGAAGTAAAAAAAAAAACATGTATAGCGTCCCCGCCCGCTTCCTTTTCAGAGGCCGCCTCCTTTTTTTTTTTTTTTTTTTTTTTAAAAGACAAAAATTGATAAATTTTAGGCAGTGGATATTTTGCCGGAGACGGCAAAACTACAGTAAACGTTAGTTTGCCGGATATGCACTGAACATGCGCAGTTACTGTTTTTTTGTACTAGAACATTTTCCGGTGACAAATTTTAGTCTGGCTCCATGCCAATATTATCGTTGTAACCTCGTATTCACAAGATGGGATTCAGACCATTTTACAATTTCGGACTTTATTTCCCTTTTAAAAAAAATCCTCCAGAGCCACAAATCTGAAAAAGAAAATGTAATATCTGCAATTGAATGTTTGAGACATGTTAAAATAATAAAAGAAGAATATTCTTATTTATTTGGGGATAAAAAAAAAACCTTAAAAATGTGGCAGGTATCAGGATTCGAACTCAGGACATCCCACTCTCCAAAGTAATTGCTTATCCACTGCACCAATTGTGCTTCACAACTTTGTTGGGAATTTAATACATATTATAATTCAGCCCTATCTTAAAGAGTACAGCGCCCTCTGTTGATATGGATTGCCGCCGGCAAACCTTTAGTAAACGTTAGTTTGCCGGCGTTACCTCCGGCAAAATATACACTACCTAAATTTTAACGATCTCCGACGAAAGAAATCGTATTTTTAGACTTTTATACCGTGTCTAAAGCTGTGGAAATAGTCAATGAGTCCAAGTGGCGGCCATTTCGAAAAAGCTGGTAACCATCTTGAAAAATAGCCCGGCCGCGTTGTCTTGAAAAATGTGTCGGGCGGCCATTTTGAAAAAAAAAAAAAAAAAAAAAGGGCCTCCTCCTTCCTTTTTGTCAAAGAGGCAGGACGCTAAACATGTTTTTTTTTTTTATTTTGCCTTATTTCATTATTTTCAGCTCATTTCATTAAAAAAAAGAATAAAGTTAGGCCCTATGTATGATAAAAGAAGTTTTGGTAAGATACAATTCCTCCCAATTCAACAAATTTACGGAGCATTCACGACCTTCACATTTGCAAAACAATCAATCATGTCCATGCAGTAGAACGTTTACAAATCTCCCGTTGGTTTGTGCACAATTTACTCACTTTCTTGATGTTGTACAGTCGAGCCTGCATTCCCACACCGCGATCGACGAGAACTGTCAGCTTTTCAGCCAACTTCTGCTGGCTGAGATTCGTCGCCATTATTCAAGCAAGACTTAATCTGTACCCTTATTCTGAAAAGTGGAAAAAATCGTCAGTTTGGGCACATTTTGTGAGCTGCTTTACTAGATTTAAAATTTAGTTCGAGGCGCGGCCGGTCAATATGCGTACACACGGAAACGAGGCTGTTCAATGCGGAAGTAGATTATATTACCCATGAGGCTTTGCGAAAACATGACGGCTGTTTCATGTATGAAACCTGAAATTATGGACGGTGGCTCCGAAAGGACAAACCTTTGTGCTGCGCCAATACAAGTATGCAACTATTAACTACAGGGGATAGGGCTGCTTCCAACATAATACAATTTCAATAATCACTAGGGTGAAGATAATTTTTTATAAACTATATAATGCATTCTGCTTTATTCTTCACACGACGAACATCTGACAAACATCTGCTATAAGTATAAAGTCCAAAATGGTGATGGACCGATCGACATTCATACATTTTCTACTAAGTCCCAAATGAGACTCAGATGTGACTGAACCAAACTGTTTTATATATAAGAATTAACCAGTTTTCAGTAATCCTAAAATAATAAGTGATTTGCATTTTTTTAACCAAAACTTCATTCTTTTGCTGAAAAAAATCCTACAACCCATTTCACGCTGTGGTCAAGGCAACATTGGGTTAAGTAAATCCATCATGACCCCAACAGATGAGTTACCAAGCTGATCAAATCAGTTTCTTTAATTGCTAGGTGAGCCCAAAAGACACTAACAGACTCTTTTTGTTTTTTTTATAAAGTCTTTTTCTGTGACTCCTCAAACTCTTCTAGCATCCTAGTAACCATCTCCTTCTCCTCTTCGTTGACTAAGCTGGAGATCAGCTCTTCCAATCTCTCTCCGCCCAACAAGAAACCCTCTACGTCAAACACACTCTGGCCGACGCGGTGATCTGTCACGCGATCCTGCTGGAAGTTGTACGTCCTGATCTTCTCAGACCGGCCCGAGGTCCCGACCTGGCTTCGCCTCATGGATCGTTCCGTCGCCTCCCGTTGCTCTAAGATGGAGTTGTAGATCTTTGTCTGGAGCATAACCATGGCGATGCTGCGATTCTTGAGCTGGGAGCGTTCCTGTTGGCTCTCCGCCACCATTCCGGTGGGGATGTGTAGTATGCGGACGGCGCTGTCTGTTGTGTTGACGTGCTGGCCGCCGGCTCCGGATGCCTTCTTGGTTTCGATGCGGAGATCCTTGGGGTCCAGCTTCAGGTCAATCTAAAGATTAAAGCATTAAATGCTGTCTTGGTGAATCTGTCACAAGATTTGACAAGGGGTGCCGTGCCACCCCTCCCCCCCCCCCCCCCACCCCTACACCCTTGTTGCATCAATGGTTGGGGTTCCTTTAAGCATACCTCTTTTGGTTGAGGCAGGACAGCCACGGCCATAGTGCTGGTGTGTATCCTACCAGCTTTCTCTGTCTTCGGCACTCTCTGAACTCGATGCACTCCCGCTTCATGCTTCATCAGTTTGTAAGCTTCGTCACCACTCACGCTAACAGAAGCATGCCTCAAACCACCTAACAATTGACAAGTAGTAAATAAAGACTTGATTATTTCTGTTTAATTACAAATATCCAGTAGGCATGAGTGATGCCAGACGTTTTGGGAATCATGTTGGTTTTAAGGAATAAGATTAGTGGGAAGTGTGGTCAAGTGGCTAGGGTTCATGACTCATGATCAGAGGGTCAGGGGTTCAAGTCCAGCTGCTGGCCATATTTGAGGTTGATCAATGAAATTAACTGGTGCTGGATTTGAATCTGCAACCTCCGGAAAACTTGGCACTTTCTAAAGAATTTCTCGGAGTGACGTACCTAAATCAGTGGTGAAGTACTCAAGTTTCTGGAAATCCCAGTCCCTGTACGCGGCAAACCTCTCGTACATCTCAAACATGTCAGCTGTGAATAACATGGCCTCTTGACCTCCGACCCCGGCCGAGAACTCCATGATGATGTCATTGTCATCTGTGTCATCCACTGGAGTGAGGAGACTAAGAATCTGGGGAGAAGATGCAACATTGAAAAGCTGTAAATGCTGAGAAAGGAGGACAGCACATTAGTTGATAAATAAATACATGTAGAAGGTCTAAAGGAAATTGGATAGAAGAATGAAAAGAGAAAAAAAAAACATAATCAGTGCAAAAAACAAAGGCTTTTCCGGAAGTCTCATGAAAAGTCAACAAGAAACTTCAACAAACTACACTAAGGTGACAGAAAGCCAATCCAGAAACAGACTCTCAAAACAAACCAACACAGACAAAATAAAATCATTTATTTAGTTAGTAAGAAGTGGGAGAACTTTGAAATCGTTCCAGTTGCTACCCAATGCCAAGTGATCCAGGCTTGCTAGTTAAAATTTCAAGCCTTGGATAAGCTACGAGACAAGAGGGACATACTTCTTGCTCTAAGCTGTCAGCATCCTCCAGGCATTCGTCTTTCTCTAGTAGGGCTAGTTCTCTCATCTCCTTGTCTTGGGCCGAGCCAGGCGCATCTGCAAAGCAAGACAAGTGTGCCATCCTAAAGATTTTGTAAGATTGAGGGAAGGCAGACACTGTTAATTTACAGGGCCTGGACCAGTGGCAGATCTAGACCAGTCTCAGGAGGGTGGGGGGGGGGGGGGGGGGGGGGGGGGGGGGGGGGGTAGTCAGATCATCTGTAGTCAGACCATCTGTATTGGAAGGTACCCATGATTTTGTGTTACAGTTACCTGACCACCGCAAAATCGAAGGGCAGGGGGAAGGGGGTGGCTGGAAATCTAACAACACCCATCCCTCTTACCGTGTCCGCAACTGGGCCTGGGTGCTTTGAACAGCTGTTTTGAACTTTTATCACCAACTTTCTGGCGACATATGACATTCCACAAAGGATTCCCAAAATAAGTTTGGTGACCTTTGAGCTAGGTCAACGAACCTGAAATCAGTTCTTCTATCTCGTTCAGCTCTGTCTGTTTGTTCACCCACTCTTCCATTTTCTCCACCAAGGGAGTCAGTTCGGTTAGTCTCCTCCTCAGCCGCTTCTGTTTCTTCCCGTCAGCTGCGTTCTTCTCGTCCACCATCTCTCTGCATAGCTGTTGGTGCTCCTGGGCCAGATGCTCCAGATAGGCTCGAAGAGAGGGATTGCTCATGGAAAGTGAGTCCTCATTGGTGGATTCCCTGGAGCCTGTTCCATAGCTGCAACTACTGACCAATCCTGTTGTGGAGCCCTGTCTGCTATTCTGAAGTTCTGCTATATGACAGGGATTGCTCATGGAAAGTGCCTCTCTATTGGTGGATCTTCTAGAACCAAAGGCATCGCTGCATCTGAAAGCCAATCCATTTCCAGAGCAAAACCTTCTTTTTGAAGACAAGTTTTCATGAAGGGATTTCTCAAGAAAAATGTATCCCTGTTGGATGATTCAGTGAAAGCCCTTTGATGGGTCCATCTCATTGGCAATCTATTTCTAGACTCCCTAGAGCAATGCCTCCATTTCTGAAGGCAATTTTGTACCAAGAGATTGCTCAGAAAACTTGTACTGGTATTGGTGGGTTCAGAGGAGCCTGTTTCACAGCCGTGAACCAAGGCCAATCCATGCCTGGAGCAATGCCTTATTTTCTGACTACCATCTGGAAAGAGATTGCTCAGCGATAACGGATTCTGATTGGCTGATCTCTCAGGAACCAATCCACTGCTGTACCTGGCAGCCAATCCTAGTCTAGAGCAATTTCTTGAGAAAAGAGGCTCCAAGAGATTGACATTGGATGTGGGAAATTTCTTGATGTTACAAATGAGAGGCCGACGGAGAACCTCACAGGTCCTTGTAAATGCTTAAATTGACGAATAATGTAAAATCCAGCTGCATAGAGTTTTGATGAAATGTCTCCATGGTGAGGCGTTGACCCAAGGATCCTTGGTATTATTAGATGCTTCATTCTGATCAATTTTGATATACGGAGGGAGTGACATCAGTCCCACATATTCCTGAGAAGAAGAAATAAATATTTGGTTAGATTTGGTAATAATGAACTGAAATGGCAAGTTTTTTAAGTAAAAGGATTGCGAACAAATGTTGCAACCGGTTGTGTACAAAGTTTATGGAGAGTCAAGAACATTTTCGAAGTATTTCCTAACAAAATTAGAAATGTTTCTCAGTCCCAGATTCATGTCTTATCATCATTTTTGTAACGACTGGCCTTCACTGAGATGATTGATATATGAAGAAAAAAGTGGCGCCAGAATGCAACATTTTTTCCAAGGATTGTTTCAATTAATTACAAATGGGGAAAGAATGTCGTGTATTCTTACGCCACTTTTTTCACGTCACAATATCTCAGTGAAAACTGAAGGTCAGTCACTGCAAAGATGTGGAAAAGACATGAATCTGGGACCGACATGACCGAGACACATTTCCAATTCTGTTAGAAAATACTTTGAAAATGCACTCAGCTCTCCATAAATAGACTTCGCACACAACCAAAGAACTTAAGAAGTCGAAGTGGCGTCTGCAGTCTGGCTGCTGCCTTTCCAAACTTTGTAATTTGTAGTGAGACATTGGATTTAATTTTAAAAGGCATAAACATAATACCGGTAATTAAAATTTGAAAACCAACAGGCAAAGACCACAATGACTCACAATTACAAGGCTATAGTTCTCTGTGAACTTTACAGGGCAAATGCCCTGTAATTATTAAATTAGTATAAATGACCTGTTTCGTACAGCAACAATCCGGCACGTTTGGAGTGAAGGGCGCAGCCATTTACAAATTACAAAGTAGACTTTACTTATTCATTTTAGGGTTCAGACTTTTCTTCGTGAAAGTTATTCCTTACATAAAATGTAAAACTACTGAATTTGTTTCACCCAAATCTTCCCATTCGTTATTCAATGTGACATTCTTTGTTTCAAGTAGTCATGTTGGGGAGAATTTCCGAATTCGAAACGTTTTTATTTTGGTTTAAAAATACAAAGGACTGGATACAAGTTTACTTAAACTGTTCCCAGAAATTGTAAGTCATGATCCCAGACTTCAAACGCGAGAGCCATATCTCGAACCGCGGCAATTGGCAATTTTTTTTCTTTTTTCGATTACTGAGGAACCAGTCTAGTCCATACAGACGGCGGAAAATGTTTACTGACCGGAAGGGGCTGTTATGTCTCCAAGATTTTGAGCTGATTTTGCAAGTTTTCAGCTGATTTTTCCACGAGTTACGGTAAGAGATCAAAGCAGTTTACCCGTCTTTAAACATCGGTTGTATTGATTCGTTTCTAGTTCGTGCATTTTGTTGGTTTGTGACTGGGGTGAGTTTTGAGTGGTGCATCGACTTGATCTCATCGAGCGAGCCTACCGCACGATGATCGAGCGAATGGAGCTGTGTGTACAGACCGTGTATTGACGGTCATTGTATTATTTTGCATTGATGATTCACCGTATAAACCGTTGCTACTGTCACTGCGCTGCTAGTGCTAGTCAGGCTGGTTGACACCAAATATACCCTGGTGTAATAGTTTGCTAATGAATCAAGTGGAATCTGTTTTGTTGGATCTTTTTGATGCCTTATGGATTGATCTTTGCTTTTCAATTTAATTAAGGTAATCTGAAATAACTGTGTGTTGATTTAAACAATTTATTGGATTTTTTTTTGGGGGGGGAGGGGTAATTGGTTTGCTGGTTTTGAATCTGTTGATTCATGCATTAAAATAAATAGCACTTCGCTTTGGATTTTGGTTCGTGATTATATTTATTTTGAATGTTTATTTGACCCTCAGACAAGGCATGCAAATGGAAATATCAGATATTTATTTTTTTAAGAAAGGAACTAGTGCTCGGTTTGCAGTAACACTATCATGACCATGTGGAAGAATCCCACTTTGAGAAGATATGTGGTTCTGAAAAGAACCAGTTAGTTCTGAAAGAGATTCTTCTAGTTGAAGTTCTACCTGTCCACACTAGTGTGTAGGCCTATTTGCCTGCAATCGAGGACCCCCTATTGTCCCTCTTTTGTTTGTAACTGTAACTTTTTAGGAAGACCTCCCATATGTTTTGTACATGATCACCAAGTTAGGGACCTTCGGGAATTGGGGACCCTATTCTCTTCTATTGTTCAAGGTCCCCTATTGAATGCACTTAAACACTCACTAGATTACAATACTGCCATACAAACTTTCCAATCTTTTATTATTTTTTTAAAGGGACTTCGAGCCTACTACATAACATTTTAATGTTCAGTTACCTAAAAACTCCACTGTTAATACGGAATTGAATTAAAATTGCCCTATTGAAGAAATGTTACTTTGGGAAAAAAATTATTTTGCATAATTATAATAGGGCCTATTTGTTATATTCTTTGCATAAATTACATAATAACTATTTATAATTTTATATAGCTTCAGAATGTAGTTTCCAATGAAAGTTGTAAAAGAGACATCAATTTCAACAATTACAACCCCCCCCCCCAAAAAAAATGATAATAGAATGATGTGGAAAACTGTGAATGATTTTCTCCTTTAATAATAATGAATATAATCTTAATTGAGCAAGTTGAAATGTGTTAACACATCTTGCAAGAGTTTTTGGAGATGGAAACTTGTTTTGCTTGCACATGTACTTGTACGTCCTCTTCCTGTGTAATTAATAAACTTTGGATCACATTTTTCTGAACGGAATTACTCATAACCATGTGGTTTTCCTGTGCCTGCCCTTGGGTTATTATGATCATCACTAATCCAGCATACACGATAGCGAAGCTCTACCCTCTGCAAATATTTGTACGACCTCAAATGAATAATCAATGAAGCAAAATCCAATCACAGATTAATTAATCATAAAACGATCACGCAGCTCAATTTAATTAATATTACCAATGATAATTGTTTGTATGTATGCTCTTGCCTAGCTGTAGTCTGTTTGTTCAAAGTACATGTATAAACAAAATTATATAAATAGTCGACCATATTTTTAAAGCGAGTTTTCAAATTTGAAAGGACCGGAGTGTGAATGTGATAAAATCCATGTTCTTTCAATACTCTGATTTTGATGGCTTTTGAACAGTTGCAGGATTTTAGTCCCATTATTTAAAGGCAGAGTAGATCATTTGCAGCTACACGTCTAAAAAGTATCTGACCAAATTATTGTGAAAAAGCTTACTTGGTTTAATGTTTTAAAGATAGGAGGGCCTAATGACACTAAACTCCCTGTGAAATTATTCTGTCTGGCATGCTGTCGTTTTGAAGAAAACAACAAAAGAAGGTCATTTCCAAATATGTGTCAAGTGACACATTTTTGGAAATTTCTGTGAATCCGCGCCATGCGTTCTAATTTTTAGTTGGTTTGTAATTGGGTGAGTCCGTGAATGGGTGACAACCGGCTGAATGAGAATTACATGTATGTCCTGAGTGCTGATTTTGGGATTGTGCCACGAAAGGACGCATTTCAAAATATGACTCAGAAACTTTGGGAATTTAAATCGAGATCCAGAATATTGTGTTTATAATTTTGTTCTGTTTTCTCAAAATATACAGCATTGACAGAGCTAAACTTCATCAGCTTAGTTATGAAGCATGGACCCGTCTTTTGATTTTGAGCACTTTTGTTGGTTCAAACAAGAAAACTGCACAAATTACAAATGGCCTACTCACTCTACTGTACCTTTAAGATGAGGGGGGGGGGGGGGGATGAGTTCCAAGGTTGAACAGTCTCCCCCCCCCCCCCTCCCCTATTGAATTTGTGCTGGCCAGCCAGAGCCAGCTAGCTTCCGTCCTCTGCTTCAGATGAAAACCTGATGAAAAGATGGGCCTGTTATTGAAGTCTGATTTCTTTCATAAAAAAAACGTTTCTTCATCATGGTAACAGTTCTACTCAAACCTTCCCTCCGTCAATGCCACAATGTATGTATGTTTGTGCCGCTAAAATGGCGAGGCAATTAAAGTGCTGACCGCTTGTGTGTTTATGTCACTCATCAATTTCCTGTTACTAGTGCTAGTGTGTACAGTACAATACTGGATAAAAAAAATAGAGGTAAAAAGGTACAGAGCACATTTGTACAATATTCAGTTTCGGGTCATTTGCAGTTTTTCTGTGTACACTGCAGAGTTCTGAATGTAGTGCCAGACTGCCAGTGTAACGTGTTAAAAACATTGTGTGAGGGGTGAGGAGTAAACATGACTTCTGTTGAATTTTCAGTTGGGGAGCATTTTCAAGTTACGGAAATTTAAACACAACAACCATTTTAAAGCTCTGTCCACGGATCACAAAAAAGTAAGTGTTCTTTCAGCATGGTGAGTGAATTGTTTTTGTTTGTAATGAAAGAATTCAGACAGAATTTGATCTGTGAACTTGTGTCCTGCGGAATTTATAGTTTGAAATTGATACAAAAAGTCCACTTTTCTTAAAAATGACAGCACACCAGCTCCAGGTGCTATGATTTTAAAGGATGCTTCAAGAGTCTATTATTCACTTCCAGTCAAGTACATGTACCGGTACCGGTAATTATTTCATAATAATTTGATAGTTTTGTTTTTTGATGTTTGCAAATGTTGTACATTGCCACTGAAAACGTTCTGGGTGAAGTGATCGTATTGAAGGGCCGACAGGTCCAAACCGAACAAACATTTACGACTACGCTTTATTGTACTTTTCATTTTACTGGACAAATGAGATTGGAAAGGGATGACAGTGCCAATTCTTTGTGACGTGGCGTAATGGAAAGAAATCATCTTGTACCCAGTATCCCCCAGGCGACTATAGGGCCTGCTACATGTAGAACGTGACTCGTGTTGTATGGATTCAAATTATTGGAATGACAGCACGAAATGTGATGGAGAGAAAACACTGTTCCGTTTCATATTCAGCCTGTCATACATGATATACACAAGAGGATTCTTCCTTATTGTACTGTAACCATATTTTATACAAATGTACAAATGTATGAGTGTAGGACAATACACCCTGTAAGCAAGGTGATGTATACGCTTGTAGTAGATACAGTATTTAACTTGATTAGGCCAAAAAAAAATAGTAAGCTTTCAATTACACGGCATTTGAAAATAGGGTAGGTACATGTACATGTAGGTAGGGATTTTTTTTTTTTGGCCAATTTTTGTGTGTGTACAATCATATAGAGGTGTCTGCGTGCAGTCAAGGGTAAAAGGTAGAAATTGATGGTTTGGGTTGTTTTTTCCCCCCCATTTTTCCCATAAAAAAATTAGGGTAGGGGCTGTCAGAATAGGGTAGGTACCGGTAGGGAAACAGGACGCAGAACTATTTTTATTTGGGGGGGGGGGGCCTAAATTACAAAATCAATTTTTCTAATTTGTTATGTTACCACTTCACAGTTTACTTTTTTGATTTTTTTTTTAATGTACACAATGGTAAACATGTACACGTGTACAAATAAATAAGCATTCAAAATTTCCAGTGAGATGCGCATCCTCTCACCGTTACTCAGACCAGCGTCTGCACTGTCTGCATCCCATTGCCAATCGGTCTGCCGTGCCTTGCATTCACCGACGACCCGACGCAACGGAGGTGTAAAAAATCAATTATTTGTCGTCCCATTAGCCCAGAGCAGGACGCCAAAACCCACACATGGCTGAATAACTTAATGATGTATCAGTGTGGGTGTGCGAGGGGAAGACAAAGCATGATGGGATTGAAGCAGCAACGTCGTGATGAACGACGATGGTTAATTATGATTCATTGAAAATGCAAATTGATGCTAGCAACGAAGGAACGATATACAAGGAAAGTGTGAAAGCTCCCTGCTTCAAATTCAGTGTTGGTGTCACTTTATGAGCAGGCCTTTTCATGTGTATGTAATTTTTTTTAACCCAAACTCCATTTTTGCTTGGATGCAACCTCAATCCTGCAAAATCCTCCAACTGCCTCCGTGTAAAAGTTGCATACAGCCTCAATCCTCCAAACTCATCCGTTATTTCTTGAATGTGTTCCTTGGAGGGTTGACCGCTGCCTCAATACTGCAAAATCTGCCAGCAATTATCACTGTCAATACATATTGTTGTCAATACATACAATGTATGTCAAGGCAGAGCCAGGGACATCCTGGAGCTTTGCAAAGAGGATTTTGGAGGGTTAACCCTAACCGCCCTGAATCCTCCAAAATCCTTTTTGCAAATTGGAGGAATTTGCAGGATTGAGGTTACATGGCAAAAGTGCGTTGCTGATTTTGGAGTACGCACTGTGTCAAGGTCTTGG